TCATTGTTAAGCAAAAAAGAAACAAAAAAAGAAAGAAAAGAAAATTCTCTCCATTTGTCTCACTGCTGAAAGTACAGCGTCTCTGCCAGCAGAAGGTACTGTCCACCGTCTCAGCTTGGGAACGCGTGAACCACCAGGACAGAGGCCTCTATGGGGAATGACGGACGCAGCTTTCGTACACAGTGTCGATTCCCTTGGCTGATCCGCCGCATCTCGAGATGCTGAGAAGTGACGGCTTCTTTAGTCCTTGATCTGACTTTGCTTCCATAAACACGCAGGGGAGTGTGGCCGATCGCTCCTCTTCCTTGGCCTGTGTGCCCTTGTGGGCTAAATCAGGTGTTCTTCAATAAGTATGTGTGAGTGTGTGTGAGAGTGTGAGTGTCTGTGTCCAGCAGAAAAGGTCAAATGAAGCGTGTGTGTGTGTGTGTGTGTGTGTGTGAAATCCAAGTGCACCGAATCATCTCAGCGCCTCAGGGGCTCGGAGGCGGGCAGTGGGACGTGCTGGGCCCAGCTGAAGTGCCCCCGACTTGGCCCATTCTCTCTGGCTCTTACACACTCGGCTTCTGTGTAAGACGATGCTCAGGACGATGTCAATAATCACTAATTTATGCTCTAATTACACAACCACTTCTCTCTTCGGCAATTTGAGGAAAACAAGAGTTTAAAGGGTAGAATAATTAACCACAATGTACCTAAGAAAAACGTTCAAAGCAGGAAAAAAAAAAAAAAAAAAAACCTTAGGCAGACTTGCAAATATAGCAGAAAACTTTCACAAGTCAGCAGCATTTCTTGAAATGAAGAGTCCAGTCCCGTGGCAAGCAATACGAGAAATCAAAACAGCAAACTTTGTTACTTTCCTGCTTATACTGCCAAACATCTCCGGGATTAAAACAAAATGATATCCAGATCTATTCAGAGAAAAGACAGGCCTTTCCAGAAAAGGGATTAAGTGAGATTAAAAAGGAAACCTTTTTGGTCAAAGGAAGAGAAATTTGGGGACCAGTACAAAGGCAACTTCCAAAGAATCAAGGTCTAGAGTTTTAAAGTTTTCTTCAGACTTAAAAGGTTCTCCAAGGGCTGGACAGATAACTCAGTAGACGAAAGCACCTGCTTGGCAGAGCGCAGCTGCTGGGGTTTGCCCCCCAGCCTGCCGTGCCAGCCCCGCCCCGGGGCGTGCTGAGGCAGTGATTGAGACTGGGCATGGTGGGGCAGGCCTGTAACCCCAGGGCCTGGGAGGCTGAAAACAGGAGAATCACTATGAGTCTGATCTACGTGGTGAGATCCTGTAGACCCTGTAGACCCTGTGCCAAATACATAAAAAAAAAAAAAAAAAGCAAAAAACTCCTTCACTCTGTGATCCAGCTTCTCAGTAATTCCTTTAAGCAAAACAAATTCCCAAGTATTGCCTAAATATACATACCACTTGTGTATAAAATGACATTAAACACACCGATTGGAAATTCAGTCACCTCCCTGCTGCCTGAGAATACCTCTTTTGTTACCAGCTTCTGTTGTCTTTCAAGATTGTCACGGTCACTCCAACCCAGCCCACCCATAACGGTCCCCTAACCCCGCCCTTTCTCTGTGACTTCAGCTCTTTCTCTTCTTGGTTCTCCCTTGACCATCTTTCAATCAATTCAGCCTGAGTTTTATTGTTTAAATATGATGGCAGTGAACTCAGTCAGCTTGCACACGTCCTTTTGCTTTACTTCCACGATGCTAGCTCAGGTGCGTTACGAGCTCCGACAGTGAGCCACTGGCTGATTCCCGGACGCGTTCACTGTCATGGCACTTGACACCGCGTTTCAACGTAGCATAGTTACTTTTTTCACTGCTGTGACAAAATACTCAACACCCTCAGGGAATAAAGTTTGTTTAGCTCACAGTTTGTAGAGGTTTCAGTTCTTAATCAGCTGGATGAATGGCAGACAGGCATGGCAAGGACAGACAGTTCACAGCAGGCAGAAGGCAGCCAAGCAAGCGAGGGGTGGCCGCCGCTCTTTCCAGCCCTGCTGGTTCATCCAGGCTGCTGACGGCGGGCAGCACTGCCACCCTTAATCCTCGTGCCCTTGGTTTTAGTCTTTCACCACGCATCAGTCACACACTCTAGATCGAGTCACTTCTGAGAAAACCCACCTATGACTCCAGGAGCTTTTGGAGAGTCATCTAGACACAGCCATCAGATCAAATTTAAGAAAATATGACTTTTCTAAGACTAAAAAAAAAAAAAAATCTTTATTTATTTGGTACAAGGTCTCACTATGCAGCTTGGACTCTAGTGATCCTCCTGTCTCAGCCTCCCTAGTGCTGGGATTAGAGGCATGAGCCACCACACACAGTTACAGGGCTGGCGTAGTGCGTCGGGGGTTCTGAGGCTGGCACGGCATGCGGTACTGGGGATTGAATCCGGGTCCTTGTGCTTGCCAGGCAGGTGCTTAGACTGCCAAGCTATCCTCCCAGCCCAAGAAAATGACTTTTCTAATACCTCGTTTTACTGCACTAAAAAAGCAACGCTTCTTATATAAATGCAAACAACAAAATAACACATATGATGCAGATAGAGAGGACAAAAAATAAATTAGAGTAAGGCAGTTAAGACGGAACTAGAAAGGGTGTTCAGAACTCAGTCCTTGTGGTGTCAGGCTTACACCTGAGCCCTCCATCTGTGGATGAAAGTCCTAGCCCCCAGGACAGATCTCACCCACTGTCTGTTTTGTAAATAAAGTTTTATTGAAACACAGCCACACCC